GACATCTCTTCGTCGACGCCATTGTGGAAAAGAGGGTTTCGTCCTCGACAGACGTTGGGGAGTTTCAACCTTTATGAAGGTGTTCTCCACAGCTTGCGAAATATAAAAAAAAACAAGGTTTGGACACCAGCAACCTCTCACAAGAGGTGGCACTCGTTGCAAGCTTCCAAATATGTTACTCCCCCTCCCTTGCTTACAGTAGGCAACAACGAGAGCGAGTGCCACGCGCAGCAAAGCCTGCTGTAGTGTACGCATGCAGCGTGCGCTTTCGACCACTCGCGATGTCCGCAGCCTGCTGGCACGAACAGCACCGATTTGAATTTTGAGGAACATGATTGTGTGTTTACCCAATTTACGACTTGCCTGCTGGAAGCGCAGTCGCTGCCGCCACAGCTGCTGAGGATGGGACTGGATCTCTCATCGTGCGCTTGTAGAGCTTGCCGCGATGGCTGTACTCCCAGCCTGTCCTGCAGTCCAAGACGCCGGCAAGCGCTGCCTCTCGAGAAGCAAACCTTGAACTCTGCTGTCTTTTCGCCTTGTCTCCCTTCCGCTTTGTGAAGTTGAGGAACAACCGCCACTTGCCAGTGTTCTTCTCTGGATAGCACACGGGCATGGACGTCTTCTCCCACTGGTCTGTGGCTGCGGGGAAGCGGCTGGAAGCCATGCTGTCGCTCTCTGCACGGTGCTGCGCAACAGCAATGTGTGCTTCTGCTGTGTTTTTTTTCAAAAATCCCTAATTCCGCCGCAAAAAAAAAAACGCAAATTTTTTGTAGTGTCTCTAAACTCTAAACCCTATATGAATTGGGGAAGATATCTTCCGTTTTGAGAGAACTGGGACAATCAGCTGTTTGCTAACACGTGCGTACCCGCCTTGGTTGGGCGATTCGGGGGATATGCCGAACGCGGCTCAATTCTTTTTCCTCGATAAGCTATGGCGTGACGAACGCAAGTTGGTTTCTTGGCTGGACCAGCTTGTATTCAACCGGCACGATGCGTACTTTATATCGGGACACCTACGTACACTTCTGTCTCTGCTGGGGGGTTCGAGCCGCCACCGAATGAATGTTGCGGGCGCTAAATAAGTAATACGCATGATCATACGAAATCATTTGACGCCGCCGCTGCACACAGCAGCGCATTGATACAGATGGCAGATGACGCCTTTCTATCCACCGCGTACGTGCTGGACCGCAAGTAGGACCTCTGGCACGAACCGCAACTAAAACGATTTTTCGACGTCGTCGATTTTTTTTTTGTTCGCGCGTCTGGTAACGGTCGACTTCGCACGGCAGCGTTCTCTTACGCCGAATTACAGCAAGCGGTTCGCCCGCACGTCTTCCCTCCAAGCCAAGCGCACGGGTGCGTACCAAGCCAAGCGCACGAGGCACATGGACTAGCCTACAGCAGCGTTGTTGCGCTGGGGTACACCGGTTGCCAAGTCGTCCCTGTATGTCTGTATGTGTGTAGTTCCTGCGCCTCCTGTCTCTGGTCTGGTCGTGCGGGCCTTTCGCGGAACCTCCCGGCTGCTGGCGATTGCCACATACAAGCGTAGAGCATGTCCTTCGGGGACCACTGCGAGCCCGATGTCGATTGGAGCCCATGCGCGGACAGCACCGGGTACCCCGCCGTCCTTCCCGTGTACTACCTATGCTACGCGAGCTTGTACGGCTCCACGGGGCTACTCTACGCGACTTCGATGGGGAGGACAGTGCAAAATCAGCTGAGGGAAAAGAGGAAGCTGAGCTTCAACTCCGCAATACAGATGCATGTGGGGATTATCGCTTTCTCCATCGCAGGGTTGATTCGTGGCGTGGTGAGTGACGCATGTTGGGGATTCATGATACCTCGTTATTGTCATGTCCTGGGAGCGGTGTTTCCCCCTGCTGAACTGCTGAATGACACCCGTTTTCGTCACACCATGTTGCCGTGTCTTTGGGCACGTATGTGCTGAGTTGTGATAATTATGCAAGTTCGGTAGACCATTTGGGGGTTGATCGCCTACAGTTTGTGGGTGGCTCGCAGCGCTGCAGGTGGACAGAATATATCGCGCAGAATCGTGTACACCTTCGCCGATGATTTTCCCCGTCGAGTAGCGTCGGGTAGTGGTTTCATGGGCGGCGGCGACTTCGGTGAACTCCAAGCTGTACGACGAAAGTGTGTGACGGGGTCTACCACCTGACGTTGCGTAAGCGTTTGTCTCCCTCAACTTTACTGCTCGGAACATTGCGACGTCAAGTTTGTGGTCGCGTCAGTGCTGTACGGAAAACATTTACATCAACGTCGACGTCAGACTGTTCCCAACCCTAGACGTTCTGAACACGTCTCTACTACTCCGGAGTACAGAAAGCGATCCTTCGTTTTAGACCGCTCAATATCCTGTCTTCGGGCAATGACCTCTCGTACGCCAGGGTCCGATATGTTCAGTAGCCGATCCCGTGCGAGCAGGTGCATGCTTCACGAGGTGTATTCTATTTTGGCGTAGAAAGATTATCCACAGCCATAGGGGGCTTGGGTTGGTGCGCACCCCCCACAGACAGTTCATTTGGCTTCCTTGTGAATCTGCACAGAATAGAATACGAGGCTTTGACTCGTGGCAGCAGTATGTATGGACAGTCACATGCGAACGATCATGCCCCTTACCTTCGTAACTGTCACCGGTAGCGCTGTAACGAGAAATTACTGAACCTTTGAATGTGGATCGCCTTATGCTCTGTTGCTTCTGTCGCGTACCCGACCTTCCTTTGGTGCCCAAAACAACCCGGTCAGTCCCTCGCTTCGAAAGAGCCACGCGTCCATCCGGTGCTAGCCCTCATCTTGTTGCACTCGAGGCAAATATGCGTGGGATATGTAACTACGGTTCTCATTCGGCACTGGGCCAGTCTCCAACTGCGAATGAGAACGACCAGCAAGACCACAGGACAAGCCACGGACAAGACTGCACGTGAGCTGTCTGACACAAAAGGATTAAGTTCGCGCAGGCACCCAACAGCGTGACCGTAGACCATGATAGTTCTGATCTTCGTTTGTGGCATGGACACGGGGCACGAGAGGTGGCACATGTCATCAACCCAAGTACAGCTTGGTAACGCTTGGTTAGATCTATGTAGATGACGACCTAAAACGGCATCCTTCCCTTACCTGATAGCCAACGTTGACGACACCTTGTCAGCGCTGTGACGTTGGCCAACAACCAGCAACCTGCCTCCCGCGTCCGGGCACCATCCCCCCTCGGCATGAGGCTACAAACAATCGATGTCTGTCTCCGCCTCGCCCACCTATTGATACTGGCCGTTCATCTCTCCCGCGCAGGTTTTGTGAAGTTGTATCAGGAGGGGGAGTTGATCCAAGCCCTCATTATGTGCTCGTTCTTTTCGGGTACCATAGCCTACGGGATAACACACCAGAGGCTTTGGGGGATCGTGGAGCGCTTGGAGCTCTCCGTTTGGTCGCTGTTTAGCGCAGTGACGTCATGGCTGGTGATTGTCCTAGGGAGGCGCGTCTACACCGTGAGTGGCCGTTCAGAGCTTGTACACGATGACCCGCCGGAAATACCGACAAAGTACATTCAAAAAAATATACTGCCCTTTGAGATACAACCACAGTCGAAGGGAATGTTTCGAAGTCCTGACAGAGGGGTGTACTCATAGTCGTGCATGCCGTAGTCGTTAGACCATTGACCTCGCATCCCTACAAAGCCGGGACGGAGCACGCCGGGTTCTCACCGGACCAGGCTCTC